TTTCATAACGTGTTAACAAAATGTCAGGATCGAGTCATTTATAATTAAGTGACGTGTAAATGTCATGTCTAACAGTTGTCGTGTGAGAGGATTTTTTTTTGTGAATGGGCTGTTTCTTACTCACGCACCTGACTGTGTCCCAGAAAGCCATAATCACTCAGGCAGATGCTGAAGTGTTTTGCAAAACTGCTCTTTCTTACAAGGATTTCATTTATAAAACAAAACCATTTTTTTAAATTTGCTACTTAGTTTGCAACTGACGTGTGAAGATGAAGGAGAGAGAGAAGTTTTGCCCTCACTTGGGCCCGTGTACCGAATAGCTGTGGTAGAGCAGCGTCAGTAACGGGTACCAGTGTCCTGGCCCATCTGCAGCTGGGAGCGGTTGCTGTGTGGGATGGGGAAGGACTGCACGACCAGAGCGCACAGGAAGGCAGAAATGAAGTGATTGAGCCAAGGTGGAGCAGCCCATCATCGGAGGTGAGGAAAAGCCAGACCAGTTGGGTTGCAGGTCTGCATGTGAACTTAAACATACGTTGGGATCTCTTCCTTCTTTCTTAAATGAGTTCCCTGGTATTGTGAGAAGTAATGTGGACCTGTGGAGCTGAGCTGGCTCTTCTGCACAGCACCGGCCAGCGATGTGTGGCTGCAGCAGCAGCTCAGCGCTTGGGGCCGCTGCAGCCAGGCCCATGGGCAGTGCAGACAGACCCTCTGTATCCCGTGACTTTAATGAGATTTAAGTAATTGTTGTAAATGGAAGGTCAAACCCATTCCCGGATCAATGCCGCTGATGTGGGCGTATTTAAAAGTTTGTTTTTCTTGTGTTTGAAGTGTCCATTCATCTCTCCTGACAAAGAGTAGCCGTTGTGGCATCAGGGCGTTTGCAAGAGTGGCCTTTGCAGTCTCTCAAATGCCACAGCTTCCCCTAGCTTTCCCTTGCCTCGCAGAAGCAAGGTGGTTGGCTTAGAGGACAGGGTTTTATTAGAGGGTGAGGAAAATAAGGAAGAACAGCAAGGAATTGGGAAGGGAAGAAGTGTAAAGACYGTTGTTCTCTGTTACAGAAGTCCTGTGGTTTGAGTTGATTTGGGAAATAGCCCTTCCTATCACTTTTGCAATACAGAAGAGGTGCTTATATTATAAGGGCTCTGCGATATTTTGGTTGTGGTATGAGAATAGCTACTGAATGGGAAATTAAACAACATTAGGCTTATAGGAGAAAAAAAAAGTGAAATCAATGTATGCATGTTGCTACGTTAGTAATGATGTCGTTAGCCAGCTAAATCATTTCTGTTCCTAGGATTCTAGGATATAAGTCATCAGTCAGGAAGTTATAGCCATAGTGCTGCAATAAATCCTGTGTTAGTAGCTGCATTTCATAAAGTGACTACTCAGGACTTTGCATCAGAATTGGAGAACTATATTCTCTTCCGCCTTCAATAAAAGAGGCTGGAGAGTATCCAAACTCTGCTGGGGGAATTGTTGGTGTGACAGGTCCTATGACGCTCTGTTTTATTATCGAAGAGAGGCAATTTTAAATTGCAAAATATATATCCGCAATCTTATTACAAGCAGCATGCAGGCAGCCCCTCTGGAAGCATGCACACCAGCTCACTGCAGTGTGCCTTAGAAGAAGGAAAGAGCACCTKGTATGATAGTGTGTCTTGCTGCTGGCTAGTGTTATGTATTTTTTATATATATGTATGTTCATATGTATTCCATATTTCTGAATTTTCAATTAGATTACATTAAGATACATAATTACATATAGATATTTTAGAAGATGTGATGGAAGTATGTAAATGAATGTACCTCTGATAGTTGCATTAAGTTGTATTTTAGCTGGGTCTTGGATTTTCCTAAGTACACCAACCAGTGCAAACGTCGCCCTCGGGGAATGTTTCTCTTGAGCCCAGGGAACCCTTATGAACTGAAGAGAACCAAGGTAGGGAAGTACTTACAGTTCTCCCTGTTTTGTCTAGATATGTTCATTTGTGGGTGATGAGGAGTAATGTTTTGAAGACTTTGCATTTTGTATGTCATTTAGCCTCCATTGTCACCTGCCTGTGAAGTCCAGAATTGCAAACGTGTCATGCCTAGTGAGCTGAGGYGCTGGAAAAGGTTCCCTGGAGCAAGGAGGAGGGCATGGCAACTTCTGAGGCTCGGGGCATGCGAGGTGCTGTTCCTGAGCGCGAGACAGTGTGCAGGGTCAGTCCTGCACCAAAACCAGGGCTAGAAAGCTGGTGCCATCCTGCAGGAATGCCAGGATGTGGGGGGCTCCGGGGGTAGCTCTGGGTAACAAGAGACTTTCAATCCATATCGAAGTCAGGGGTTAAACATCTAATCCATAAATTAGTGCTAGGAATTAAGGATGACTACTTGACATCTGAAATCACAGGGAGGCTTTTTCTGTGTAATAAAAAAAGYCTCTTCAAATTATTTAAAGCATGCTTCTCTTGCATTTTAAAACCCAGAGGAAGCTGTGCAAGTCAGATGGGCCAATTTCTGCCTCTGGTTAGTAATAACTTAGTTCATGCAAATGACAGCAGGATTTTTTCCCTTTTCCTACCATGATTTTAAGAGCAGTTATATCCTGTTTTAGATTGCAAAGAAAAAGCTTCCATTTGCCATTTACTTGGCTCCTGCTCTTAATCCCAGTTGTAGAATCATGTCATTTGGTCATTTTGAAGCCTTGATTAAGTTAGCTTACAAGCTCGAAGCAACAGGACTCGAGCATGTCCTTAAAAACATTGCTCAAGCAGCACCTTGAGACCCAGAGAGTAGTGAGTTCTGATGTAAGGTTTGACAGTTTGGTTTGCTTCTACTCAAATAACACAGGCCTGAATCCTGAACGATAATTTGTTAGAGTACCATGAGGAGGAAATGACTCTCCTCCCCCTCCTGGGTATCTGAGGGAGTTTTTAAAACTCCAAACAGGATAGAATTCCTGCGGGAAATTCCCTGTTCATGGAGAAGCCCCCCTTCCTTGTTGTGAAGTCCCTGGTCTGCCTGATGCCACATCACATGATGTATTAATGTAGGCTTTGCATTATATATTAACAGAGATTTGTCCTCAGATACCCTACTGTGSAGAAGGCCATTTTAAAATCTTTAATAGGGCATTAGAGCAATTCGCCTGTGATTTAGTTTTAAGTGGGCAAGGAGAGTGGTGACAAACAAAGCTGGGAGGCCCCAAAATTCTTTGAATATTCCATGTTTTCCTGGAACTGTTGGGAARAGGCTGCCAGAAGGGTCTTGGCAGGTTTTCTAGGTGGCTGGCCAAGTCCAAAGCAAAWGTGGATAGTTAATAGGCTAATGCAGTTCCCCTTCCAAGGCCATATGTATATARCATACGTTTCTATTTAAGAAAACTCACCGTATGGAGGGGCAAACATAGCGTTAATATGTCTTCCTACAAGAAAATAGCAAAGGAAGAAACTAATCCTGGATCCTTTGGGGGTTCAGGTGGGCTTGCAAGCGCCTTCTCCGTGCATCAGGGTCAGGCTGGTGGAACAGGACCAGGGAGTAGGTGTTTACTGGTGTGCCTGGCATGCGCTTTTTCCAGGAAAGCGCTGCTCCGATTTCTCTTAGACATCAGGTGACTTAGCTTTGTAATTTTAAAATCCTCTCCAGTGTTATTCTTGTTCATGGGAACTCATGGGGCCTGTCTTCTTTTATTATTAATGGAGAGAAGACGGTACACAGTCTCTGCTACCATAGCAGGACAATTTATATTTTTTGATTAAACCAGTGCTGCAGACTCTGCAATTCTGCTGCAGACACCCTTGTGGGATCTCAGATAAGTCACTTGTTTGTTTGTTTTATTTACTGTCTCTAAAATCGAGGTCCTCATTCCTAGTAAGGGGTCTTYGGGAGACTAATGTACAGATCATACAGTCATGTTGCATGGCATTTTGGATCTGTGAGTGAGTATACAACATATGGAAAGGTATGTTTCATGCGGGCTACCTCCATGCTGTCATACACATCCATTAGATGTACCAAGTTAAAACCAATGGTACTTATAATCTAATATAGCTCTTATAAGAAGAAAATCAACCTGAAAAGGATACTGTTACACTTGAAAAACTCAATTTCAAGAATGTAATTTATTATTAAGCAGAGGGAGTATTACCGCCTGCACTGCAGCGTGAGGCGATGCAGAAGCCTGGGCTGGCACCACGGACGGGGAGCCTGGCTGCTCCGCTTGCCGTTGCTGGCCCACAGGGCCTGAGCAGTGTCAGAGGGACCAAAKGCAAGTCCTTGGAGGTTGCTACGTCTTGCTCGCACACTGGCATTTGTGCCTCTGTCATGTGCCTTTTGATATGTGGCTTTCTCATTTTTAGCAGAGCCTAGGCACCAGGGAAGGAACTGAGAACAACTCGCAGGCTATTAAGACCTCTGTGACCAGCTTCACAAGATGTGAGGGTGACTAGACTTGCATTSAGGCTTGCCAAGCCTGTTATTTCTTTGACAGCAATACCTAAATGGCTTGGCATTTTGTTTCACCCCGTGAGAAGCGAGTCCCCATCCCCAGGAGCCGGCAGTCTAAATAGATAAAGCGGGCAGAAAGGGAAGCACAAAGAGATGGCGAGACTTGCCCAAGCAACTTGGCACRTCTCGCGGCAGAGCTGGGAATAGGAACAGGTCCTTTGGACTGGAGCCACTGTCATCACCAGTGATTTGGGATTCCTCCGGCCAGCTTTGTGCCAGCTCCTGCCTGTCCCCGGGCAGGGGTCAGCGGTTGGAGCCCACCAAGCAGCGTCCGATAATGCTAMGGTGCTCTGCATGTTGGTTTAATTCTTGTGCAGTATCTGAGGCAGAGGGGAGTGTGTCCCCATGGTGTGTTTTTTTTCTTTATGCCATTTTTTAAAAATAATTCCATCCTTAGCCTATGAGGCACTAACTTTCTTTTTAAAATACATATGTAGTTCTGTCACTTAGTGTCTGAAATAATTCAAAATTTGTCAGACTTTCAGTATGAAACCTTAGATCACAAGAGAGGCTCAAAACAGGATAGATTTATTTAAAATTTAAGTGAGGTTCTTGGAGCTTTGGTCATGTTTTAAGCTGAATCGAGGTTGATTTCATTTTTTGGTGGACCTGAAATTGTCTGAAATATGAGAGTTTTCAGGTGCTTTATGTGATATGGAAATGGCAAATCTTGCAGGAGTAGATGTAATGGATGTTTGCATGACTTCATCCAGCTGAATTTGAGTTTCACCTTGAGTTTCAGTGTTTGGTTAAATCCGGACCGTATGGAAGAACTCACGGATAAGGGCGGATTGGGAGCTCCCCATAGACAGCGTGCACATAACTCTAGGTACATTCCTGCTTTTCATACTTTCTCTTTGATATTGTATGAATCCATCTCTGCTGTAACCTTTCTTTTCAAATCCCTCTGCTACATCCGCTGACCTTTTGCTGAACTCTTCCCATTTTCCCAACCTTGGCTTTGAACAAGGGCACCGGTGCAGGGTGGAATCCCAAGGCCCTTGCGGGATGAAGCGAGCAGCACTGCTGTATTTTACTTTGCGCTTGCTCCGCTCRCCCCAGCATTAAATTGTTTTGTGGCATTGTCACCCTGTTATTTTAAGTCTTCTCCACTACCAGGGATTGATATAGCTCAAGGATCTTGGATAAACCTGATAGAAGAACTGGGGGAAGGGAGAAGACACCTAAGGATCCCTTTCTCTGCAGAAYAGCTCTCAGGACAGGGCTTGGGTGAGGCAGTTTGCCATCATTAATGTGTATTTTGGGGTTGGAGATGGGAGTTGGTGGGGGAGTTCSGTTAAGGGAGGGTGAGTTGGGTGAGGTTTCAGTGATGAAAAAGAGCTCACATGATGATCTTCAACCATTCTCCATCCTCTGTGTTGACTAACAGGGCATCAGATGAGGATACTAAGAGTAATCTGGACATGGCAGCTTTCTCGTAAGGATCTCCAGACACTCTGAGGACATGGTAAGCACTGTTGTGTCTGTGCTACRTGCTGGGAAACGAGGTAGGAGGAAGTGAAGGGAATTTAGCGCTGCCTTGATGCGAAATTGGAGAATATGCAAGACAGCAGTGCTCAAATTAGAAGCCTTTGGCTGTCAGACTACCCACTCAATAGACAGAGTTCAGTTCTGGTTGTGCCCAAATCATGCCACCCTTGCCCGGCTTTGCTGTCCTTGGTGTGCTGCACTCTGCGCACTTGCACCTTTTCTTGTGCCCTTGGGCAAGTCCAGCACTCATATTTGTCAATAGGTTTGTCTCCACTACAAACGTTCAKTTTGAACCGTTCTCTTATATTCTCAAATACCAGCATGTGCTGCCCACACAGCTCAGACAGCAGTACTATTCTGAAGATCTCTCACAAATGATCTCTGTATGGTAAAATCACCCCTTTTATTTTCTCCACCACAGGAAGATGGAAGGCTTAAGTTCGTCCATAACGAGGTTATGAACTTGTCTCAAAAAGGCCATATGATTTTTATAGCTAATGCTTAAGACTCTCAAGCATCCTCTCTGTCTGAGCATCTCTTCACTCCTGTGTTCTTTCTTCTTTGCTAATTCCAGTTGGGCACAGAAAAAAACACAACAATATTAACCACACAGTTACCAGGGTTTCTTCTGCCTTTAAATTCCTTCTTCCTTTCTGTTTTCCAGCTTTTCTCCGCGAACTTCCTCTCACTCCATTTCTCTAAGACCTCTGCTGGCAAGCTGTCTCCCTAAGAGGATTAGTGAAGGGGGTACCAGTTGATTTATACTCACCTCGGCATGGCAGCAGGTGCCCGGTGTCGGTTGTGGGATTATTAAGTGGTTTGTAGGTTTGTACCACATGAAACAAGCCTGGTGGTTCTGGTGCAGTTCAGAAGCACCAGACAGTTCAGAACCAGAGYGGACAGGTGTCTGTATCTCAGTCAGTCTAGACTGACCACAAACTTGTACAATTTTTTCTCCTCTTAACCTGTTCACGTTGGCAATATGGACAATATGTATGGACAGACGTACTCAGGACTTAGTGGACTACAGAGATACTAGGTCCCTTCAGGTGCAGGACAGACTGTTGTGGATGCACATTTCTGCTATTCTCATGGTAAAGATGCCTTTGGTCACTACAGAACAGTTTTCAGGCATCTTTCAGTTGCACCTAGTTCACTGAAAAAACRATAGAGGTGTGAGAAGCCAGGAGAAAATCCTCAAGCTTTTTCCACTTAAACTTTTCCAATTCCTGATAGCCCCTGTGCCACGTGATATTGCCATTTGTATCATCTTTTATAGTGCCTGGCTTGAGTGGTCCAAAAAGAGTAAGCCGAAGTAAGGGAGAAGTGTAGAGGTGTTTAAAGCTTAAATCTGAGAAATGACAGATACTTGGAATTTGTCAAATGGGTTTGTTTTTTACAGTGCTCCCCGACGAAAACAAAAGGTCTCATCTGCGCAGCTTTCAAAGTGATTTGCAATGAGCAGAACTGAAGCCTGTTAAGGCATGATTGGAGTTATTGCTGTTGCATACAAAGATCCCCCAGCTTGGCCACGTTACCTAAGTGGGAAGGAGGCCTGAAGTGCCATTTGGGGGCTTCTCCTGATGTGGCTTTTCAAGTGGTTGCCACCAACCTGTTGGTCAATAGCRACAGCTAGTAGGTTCTGCTGTTCTAGAGCAGACGCTTCCCACCTTCCCAGCTCATCCAAGTGGTTGCTGCTGCTTTCTCTGCGAGCCTGTGCATATTCCAAAGCTGGCTCTTCCATTTGCTTTGCCCTCACATCCTGCCCTTGATTAGACTGGGCATATATGCTAAGGGAAGCAAAATAGTTTACTGATTTATCACGGATCATTAGATGGAGTAACTGTTCTTAAAACATTGCCAGTATAGATACAATAATTAGAGATGTGCTTTTGTTAACATTGCCAGCCTCTACCCTCTTGTACAGTACCCTTGGGTACTAAATAATTACCCACTTTGTGTGGTTATCTAGCTCACTAATTACCCACAAAAATTGGGGTCAGGTGTTAACTGCTTGAAATAAGTATCCTCCAAAGACTTGCTTAAATTATATAAAGAAATGATGTGTTTGCAGCAAAACTTCAAAAAATCAAACATTTTGGGGGGTGGAGGGAGGAGGAAGGTAGGGGAATATGAGAAAAACAATGGATATAARTTGCTCTGTGTGACCACAAATCTTCCACATTATTGTAGTGCCGAGGAGGGAGTCTGTATAGGGAGTCTAAGGATGGGTGACAGATACAGTCTCTCTAATCCAGTCTACTTTTCCCAMAGATTAGATCCTTCAGTACATAGGGTTTGATTCTTCCCCTATGTAGGCTGATGCCAATCAGGATTACTTTGGTATAAATGAGAAAATTTGCATCCTTGGATTCCCGGACCGACTTCCTTACATAATCCAGCCTCCTCTGTCACGCAGGGATTTCTGCATTGCACCCAGCAGTTGGATTATGGATGGTATGTGTATTTCCATACGCCTCTTTCTGTTGTTCCAGCCCCTGCACGTGGCAGCCGAGCTGCATCCCGGGCTGCTGCCAGCCGAGTGCCTGGAGTTGCGGTTGGGCTCCTGCGCCCAGGGAGTCACCCCAGTGAGTCAATGCCTTCCACGTGGACCCTCCCTCCCCAGCCTGCCGAGCGCTTGTGCTGCGCCCGCTCTCCGTGCCGGGACCACGCGAGGCACCTAAGCAGCCTGAATCCCCCAGGAACCTCCTCCCTGCCCCTGTGAGCCCCCCTAAACGGGGAGACAGAGCCCCAAGCCCTGGCACCAAAGCCCTGCGGATAGCTGGCCCRTGCCGGAGGGCTGGTTAGCAGAGGACCTCCCGCACCTGGCCTTTCTCACAGGGATGCTCTGCCCTCATGCAAAGGCAGCTGATGTCCAGGGGAGCCCAGTGGCTGCTTTGAGTATCCCAGTGTGCCCCTATCAAGATCGCTGGGTACCAGCTACCGCTGTCGCCCTAGAGCATCGGTGCCGTGCGCGCCGTAACAAAGAAGCTGCCTTATTGATTCATTTCCGCGCCCGGCGCAGCTCTGCAGCACGGGGCTCGGCCCTTCCCTGCCCCATAGCCAGGGCACACGGGGGCTCAGGTGAGACCCGGGCACCGCGGGGGTCCCGGGGGGCAGAGCCGCGCAGCGCGCCGGCCTCCTCCAGCACCATGCGAATCTAGTCGTCATCCTTGCCTCCCCCAGCGCTGCTGTTCACCGCCGGCGTTATTATTTATTGTTATCAGGGGATTGGGGGTGATCAATGAAGTGCATACGCGCCCGACGGACATGCGGGAGGAAATGCTTGGGCAGTGAGTAACATGTCTGCAGCGCAGGGTGTGTGTTGCGCGCGCGGCGGCTGCAGCGCGGCCGCGAGCACCGGCTGACGAGTTCATTTCAAAAGCCAAGGGCACAGAGCCGGTAAAAGAGCGCGGGGGGCCGGGGCGGGGGGGCGGCAGGGCTGCGTGTCCCCCCCCCCCCGGGACGCGGGAAGGGGCCCCGCGGGGATGCGGGGGGGTTGTTGGGGATGCCTGGGGAGGGGCGGCCGGGGCTGGCGGCGGGGGCAGCCGCGTCCCGATTCTGCTCGAGATTTAAGTAGGCATGCGAGGAATCTCTAGGATAGTTGGCAAAGGGCGCGGGTGGGGAGGGGGGGAAGGATCCGAAAGAGTCTGTAACCAGACACTGAGGCTTTCCAGGAGTGAGAGTGTGCGAGGGAGACGGAGACGGAGCGAGAGGAAGAGAGGGGGCAGTGTGGTCTAGTACATTTTCATCTGGTCGTTGATTTGAGCCTGATGCTCGCTGTCCCTCAACAGCCTCCCTTGCCGGTATTTTCTCTTTCCCCCTCTCCTCTCCTTTCCCTTCTACTTCATCGCAGCCTAGGGGAGCCAGTAAAGATTAAATGTGCTTTCTAAAAGGCAGCCACTTCATGCAGCTACGTCTACTCTCCCCCAGCCACCCCCCTCCCCCTTTTTTTTTGAAATTAAAAAAGAAGGGGGGGGGGCAGACTGCGAGGGGGAGAAGGAAGGAGGAGGAAGAGGAGGACTATAGTTTAATGATGTCGGGACTGGCTGAGTCGCCGTAAGGAAAAAAAAAAAAAGGAAAAAAAAAAAAAACAGGAAAGATTTGAGATCCTGGACGAGGAAGGACTGTGGTGCATGGGCTCAGACGCCGGAGGTGAGGAAGGGACGGGGGGGACGATGCCGCCTCGGTAATGGTGCCTGTTACGGCCGCCCCTGGGGAGCGCCGGGGAGGGGAACGAAGGGGGAGCCGGGAACCGCTTCCCCCCCCCCCC